CAAAATACTGTTCTTTTTAGCAGCATCATATGACCCCTTTAATCCAGCAGGGATGCATTAAATGGATGAAAAGTAACAGTAAAGACATTTATCATGGTGCAAAACATTTCTATTTCTATTATATACTCTTCTTTTAAACTTTCTATTAATCAAAGAATCCTGAAAATATTAAGCCGCAAAAACTGTTTTCAACATTGATGATAATAAGATCCTGTGACACTGAAGACTAAAGTAAAGTGACTTGCTGTCACAGGAATAAATGACATTGTAAAATATTTTCACAATAATACTGCTTCTGTTGTATTTTTTAAACAAATAAATGCAGCCTTGGTGAGCATAAGAAGCTTTAGAAAACATTTAAAGAATCTAAATAATTCCAGACTTTTGACCGGTAGTGTTTGTCTCACAAAGGACCATCAAGTCTAATACTGCAGAGGGATTCATTCACTCATTAAGATTTGAATGTCTGTCTCCATATTTCCATGAAACGCCATTATTCTGTGACACCAACGTGGATGCAGGATGGTTGACGAAGTGGAGTTAACAGTGTTACTGTGTTGTGGTGGTACCACAGGAATTGATGGGCCCGCTGCCTTCCAGGATGAGGGTCAGGAGCTGGGCAACCAGATTCAGATCCTGACAGTGGGCCACTCACCTGCCCAGGAGAGCGAGGCAGAGGGCCAGGGTGAGGCAGTGGGCAACACACAGTCACAGGGCAAACAGGACCTACGGGTCACCATGCTGAAGAAAGGTACACCAGCGACAGTCCTCAGAGTAACGCAAACAAGAGCGGAGAGAGAGACAGATGGAGAGACCCCTACGATCTTGCCGATTAAGCCATGCAGATTTGCAGATTGTTCTTCAGTATTACTGATCGCCTAACATGCAAAACAACGTCATGTACAGTATCATCATCTGGTGACTAACACTTTGAGATCTACTTACATGCTATAGCATTCAGATTCAGTGTCTGCCTCTCTCTCCTCCTTCTGTGACATATTTGGATTAGATCATGTCTTTACTGTCTGCATGACTTATCAGAGCTGGTTAGAGCCGATCTGGACTGTGGACAATCATTTTGTCCTGTGCATCCCCTTTTTCTGCTAATTTGTTGAACAGATTAAAAGAGTGAAGTAAAAAAAAAAAAAAGTAATCTAAATGTACTCAGTTTGTTGTGTATGCGAAATTTCATGCCGTATGCTCTTTTGGCATCAGAGCGCAGTTATTTGCAGTGTTATTTGCACTGCATAATGCCTCTATGTTTGCTTTATGCCTGCTGCTGTTCTCTCCTCATGTTCTGCTATCGACACACTATTTGATTAGCACCTCAATATTTTTCTTGTTCAAAGGAATCTCCAGTAGCATGAACTTTGATGAAGACGATGATGAAGATGATTTGGTCAGCTCAAGTTCATCTCAGCTCAACAGCAACACAAGACCTGGATCTGCCACCAGCAAAAAGTCCAGCAAGGTAGACTACTTTCTCAGTAAAGACTTTTACAGTGTTACAAATGATTTCAACATTGATAATAAGAAATGTTTCTTGAAGACCAAATCAGCATATTAGACTTTCAGAAGTATAATGTGACACAGAAAACTGGAGTAATGGCTGCTGAAAATTCAGCTTTACCATCACAGAAAGAAGTTACATTTTAAAATGGCCCAAGTTCTATTAAATTGTAATAATATTTCACGATGTTACTGTTTTTATATTTTTGAATAAATAAATAAATGTGGCTTTGATGAGCATAAGAGACTTTTAAAAAAAAAATTAAAATATCTTAAATAGTAGTGTATTTTGTAATTGCTGGGGGAAAATGTGTGTGGTTTTTGTATTTTGTACAAAATATGTATTAAATAAAAATATAATATAGTAAAATATATAATATATAAATACAAAGTTTAAATTAAGCTAAAGCTAAGAAAGTACAATTTAGAGAAACGTTTCATTGTCCCTACCATATTAGATTTTTAAAGCATTAACTCTTAACTTTAAAATCCATTAAATGGAAGTAAAATTAAATTGCAATACACACATACATGACTCTGAACATCTGTACAGAGAATTTAATAAAGATTCAAATTATTATGTTAATGGGGTTGCAATCTAAGCATATGGTACTATATGCAAGTTGTGATAGGCCATGCTTAATATGTAAAACAATTTTTTTACAGTATAACAGAGGGTCACTGTTCCATACATCAAGCAGTCCTTGGCCTGCAAAAGGTTTAAGATCCTTGGATTAGATGCAGTTCTGCACCAATAAGATTCTGACTTACCCATCACACCTACAGAATATGATACATTGTCGACTGTATCTTTTGTTGATTCCCCAGCTAGCAGTTTTGCATAGTGCTGGTAAAGGTCACTTCTTATCCATTCCTGTCTATTCTGAGATGTTAAAATTGAAGGTTGACTGCTATTTTGAGTGGTCTATGTGTGTTAGCTCCAAATGTGATCGCCTCAGTGTCCAGTTGTGTTACATGTACAGTGCTGACACAAGCAGTCTGTGTATTGTCATGCTAGGATGTATTCCCTTGTGTCTACCTTGGCACAAAACCTGCAGTGCTGGAAATGGAGGGTCATAGTCCTGTTGTTTCCTATGGCAACAGTGAAATGATTACTTTCTTAAAATAACTTGATGGAAGCCGTGCCTGTTTGAAACCCCTGCTCTTACCACCGTCTCACTGGTGATCACAATGTACAGTGTTTTGTAGAAAATAAAAATGTATTAGTAGATAAGCCAATAGGGAGAATACCTGTAGTGTGACTGTAATATTTAATCTAAATTTATGTTGAAGAAGATTTTTTTCTTAATAATTCTTATGCTTTTATTAATAAAATTAATATTAATACTACATGGACATTTTAAAGATGTATTTATTTGTCACACTGCAGAAAAAAATGCAAAGAGAAATGCATTAAACTAAAATCTGTAAACTTTAAAGAAAAGGTGACCACTTATATCTTTATCTCGTATTTTTCACTTTTGCGTGGAAACCCCCCCCCAAAACAGTCAGTTCTCCAAGTTATTCCAGTAAACTAAAGTCGTGAAGTCTAAATCTAGCTGTTATTTATTTGGTTGTGTAGTGGCTCATCCATGTCTCTTGAGTCTGACCCGACTAACGTCATTGGGCTGCTTTGTTGCTCTTTAACATTTCAGTTTTAATCTCAGCTGCTTACATTTAAGACCACAGGGACGTTTGATTCATTTATGCTGGGTCCATCAGCTGAGTGCTCTAGTGGAAATACTTCTATTATACATTTTTATCATTGAATAAAAGCAAGCACATATGACCGTCTGCACAATGGAGTTCCCCTCACTTGACATTATACCTAGATTTAACTTTTTTAGGGCTAAAAAAAAAAACACAAAAACAAATCTACATTTACAAAAAGGTTATTTATTTATTTATTTTAAGTTTTTACCTCATTTTACAGTTACTTTGTTTTACAAAATGTATTGTTTTTTCCAGGTTTAAATAAAAATACATAATATACATAAATATGATTGTGTATTTGTAATAATCTACCGTGTAAATTTATAATTTGTTGGGATCGATCTCTATCTGCCTAATCAATGTGACAGGAGGCGACCTCAGCTTCCTCCCCATTGGCCAATGAACCATCCATCGACGTGGATGACCTGGAGGAGTTCACTCTCAGACCCGCACCCCAAGGGGTGACTGTGAAATGCCGGATCACACGGGATAAGAAGGGCATGGACAGGGGCATGTACCCCACTTACTACCTCCATCTGGAGAGAGAGGATGGCAAGAAGGTCAGGCACAACGAAACACTGATTATTTCCAGTTTTTCTAAAGAGTTTTGGCTTATTTGGAAGTCATCATTGTTGTGCCCCAGCAATCAAACCCAATCAGTGACACTCCATTGCTCTAATTTGCCGAAGGGCTTGAAATGATTGATTCTGATGAAAGGAACCAAATTTAGCCTGAAGGGAGATTTAGCTAAATGACAATTAACTATAATATTGCTGCTTGTCCTAAAAATATCAGGACTAAATCGTAAATCATATGTTAAAAACAATGTCTTATAGCCGTCTTATTTACCAAATAGAATAACACATACAGCATATAGCCAACTTCCCTATAAATGATATTTTCCCATAAACAACTATTAAAAACACACACACACACACACACACACACACACTGAAAAAATGGTTTTAAGTCAGTTATTTCTATCTTTTGCTGTACAGTAGTGTGTCAGGAGGAAATATCAGTTTATATTTCCAAACATTCATTTTGCCATTAATTGTAATAATCCAGTGAGATTTTTTGGAGAGTCTGTGCTCCACACAGTGATCTGATCTCATCATCATCCAGTCTGTCTGGAGAAACAGAACAAACTGAGACAGACTAAATCCAGAAGAACTGTGGAAACATCTCCAAGATGCTTCAAGAAACCTATCTGCAAAGCTACAGCACTGTTAAAAATTTTAGGCACTTGTGTAAAAATGCTGTAAAATGAGGATGCTATCCTGAACAAACTGAGACAGACTAAATCCAGAAGAACTGTGGCAAAGTCTCCAAAATGCTTCAAGAGACCTACCTGCAAAGCTACCTGAGAAACTATGTGCAAGTGCACCTATAGGGCAAAAGCTGCTTTAAACGCAAAGGATGGTCACACCAAACTTTGATTTAATTTAGTTAATAGAAGTTAATTGTTTTTCCACAAGTGCCTAAAACGTTTAACAGTACTGTAGCATTGCAGGTAGTTTTCTTGAAGCATCTTGGAGACGTTGCCACAGTTCTTCTGGATTTAGTCTGTCTCAGTTTGTTCTGTTTCTTCGTGTCATTCCAGACCGACTGGATGATGATGAGATCAGATCTCTGTGTGGAGCACTGGCTGCTGTCAGACAAAAATCTCACTGGATTATTACAATTAATGGCAAAATGAATGTCCCTACTGACACACTAAAGCAAAAGATAGAAGTAACTGACTTAAAACCATTTTTTTAGCTGGTGAAAATACTAGGGTTCTAATAATAGTTCTTTCTGGAAACATGGAAACACTGTCTCTGATTGTTTGTTTATGTCTCAATCTCTGTTGGATGTTTTTGATGTCAGTTTTGTGCTGCTGTTCGGCGACCAATTAAATTCTGTTATACATTAGGTTTTCCTTTTAGCCGGGAGGAAGAGAAAGAAGAGCAAAACATCCAATTACCTCATCTCCATCGACCCTACTGACCTATCACGAGGCGGCGAGAGCTTTATTGGCAAACTGAGGTATACTTAAGAATGATTCATTGTGTCGTGTGTTTCATAAGGTAGCGTAACTTAAATCAATGCTGTTCTTACAGACAAGAGGCATGTGTCTCTTTCTAAACATTCTAGAGGGACCTTTAATGAGTTTGTGTGCATGTGTGCACTGCTGAACCTATTTAAAACTGTAATTGGGTTCATTGCCTGTGTGCTGGAGTGTCCTCATTCATATGAGGAGAGAGCAACTGTGTGCATGCTGATGTCTGAATCTCATTACAGCTCGTTTAAAAACAAATTTTTATATTAAATGTGTTAAAATGCCATGTTTCGTATTGCTACTCAAAAAATTATTATTATTTTTTTTTTTTCTTTTGATTTTGGTGTGAAATAGCTATGGCCTGAACATGTTCTTGACAATCTTTGGGAGGTTCATCCCTTCGCTGTGCCACGATGGAAACTTCATTGTATGAATTTCATCCGCTGTCATCCCCACAGATCGAACCTTATGGGTACCAAGTTTACGGTATATGACAGCGGTGTGAACCCAGTCAAGACCACCTCCAGCCTAGAAGCAGGGAATCTAAGACAGGAGCTTGCCGCAATCTGCTACGTGAGTTCGTGAGCATGATCTCGGTCAATGGCCAGCACAGAGCCAGCACCCAGCCCTTAAGGGCACTACGTCTTAAAGCCACAAGCAACGATGAGCCAAGCCTGACCTCTGCTGGTTGTTTTTACACATAGCAATACCACTGATGAAGGAAAAACAGGAAATTAAATGCTTGTGTAGATGAATGATTTCTAAGAATTCCTCTTCAGTATGTTGATGTGCGAGTAATTCGGATGTTTGTGTTCTGTTGCGCAGGAAACTAATGTTTTAGGGTTCAAGGGGCCTCGAAAGATGAGTGTCATTATTCCTGGAATGAACATGGACCATGAAAGAGTCTCCATAAGGCCTCGAAATGTGAGTGCAAGGCTGTTTAGGATAGCATAAATGCAGCATGTTGGCCTGTTTGTGCATACATAGCTAGAATATCAAAAGGGTAATTGTAGTTCTCAAAATAAAATAAGAAGAAGCTGTTCAAATGTGCATGTGATATCATATTGAAGTTTTTAAACTAATTTTTACATAAATTTTTTCCAGTTTGTTAATTTACGTGTGTCATTTGTGTTACATGAGCAGTAAAATACTAGGTAATGTATGTCTTATGTAAAACATTAGTATGAGGCAACGAATATCCCTTGACCTATATTTTATATACAAATGTTGCTCTAATGGAAAGCTAATCCCCCACATCTGTCTATTGTTTTGCAGGACCATGAGTCTCTACTGGCTCGATGGCAGAACAAAAGCACTGAGAGTGTGATAGAGCTTCACAACAAGACGCCTGTGTGGAACGATGATACGCAATCATATGTGCTCAACTTCCATGGCAGGGTCACCCAAGCATCTGTCAAAAATTTTCAGATCATTCATGACAATGACCGTGAGTTCTAAGTTCAAAATCTTAGTTTTGTGTACTATTTGGTTTGCATTGTGAATGCAAGGAAAAATTGTTATTTCGGAACAATATCAATGTTTAAATGTAGTGAATGAATTAAAATCCATCTGTAGTGGAATATATATATTGGTATAACATTTTATTTATATGGATATAAATGGATATATAACATTTGATTTTTAGATTTTAATTCAATTCTTTTGTAAAATTATTAAAATTTTCATTTTAAATATAGTCCATTAAGTAATGTGTATATAAACAAGTGCCATTTATTTAGAAGAAATGTAGCATAAAAACACTTTTCAATCAAAATGAAGTCTGTTAACTTTCAATATATAAACCAATTAATATATTGTTCAAAACAGAGTCAAAAAGTCTGATTGTCAAACATTGTGGAACATGTTATTTTGATGAACTACAACCAATGGTTATTCTGCTAGTGTGACAGGAATAGTTCACCCAAAATTGAAAATTTTGTCATCATTTACCTGTTTAAGTAAACCTATAACCTATATAAACCTGTATAAGTTTAATTCTTATGTTGAACATTAAAAAAAATATATATATATATATATTTTGAAATGTTTTGAATAATCAAACAGTTGTTGGTCCCCATTGACTTCCATAGTACGGAAAAAAGTACTTTGGAAGTCAATTGGCACCATCAAATGTTTGATTACCAGCATTCTTCAAAATATCTTCTTTTATGTTCAACATAAGAAAGAAACTCATACAGGAACGACATAAGGGTGAGTAAATGATGACAAAATGTTCATTGTTCGATGAGCTATCCCTTGAACACAAGGGGAACTGACATCATACATCTATCTGAAATTACCTTGAGACCAGATGGTTAGAAATAATAGAAAAAGTGACCTAGAAAATTGATGTTAGTTCTGAGAAAGGCTCTAGCATCATTTGTTTGCCAAAGCCACTTAGTTCAATATTTTGCATGTAATGCAATGAAAATCTGACATATTAAAGTGTTACTTTAGTGTCCAAAATTGTCCAAACACTTTTTAGGCACTAAACATGGAACGTACTGTATATCACATACTCGAGATGGATTTTATTTTAGAAACAGTTTGTTTTGTCTGTACTCTCATCCCTGTATTCTCTCTTTCGTGTATGCAGCGGATTACATTGTGATGCAGTTTGGTCGTGTGGCAGAGGACGTCTTCACAATGGACTACAACTACCCCATGTGTGCCCTGCAGGCGTTTGCTATTGCTCTGTCCAGTTTTGACAGCAAGCTAGCCTGTGAGTAACTCATCTCTCTCTGCCAGCCACAAGCTCAAAAGGACCCAGCCAGACTGCTTTACAATCCCAATCACTGAGTAAAGGGCTGCAGTGAACTCCAAAGCAGCAGGGTCCCTCTCTCAAGATCCTCCTTTGGAGGCATGAATGCGTATTGAGTTTGTCTTCTTGTGTGAATGTGCGTGAGCAAAGTGGCATTTCCGCTTTTTTAAAAAAGGGCATCACAGTTGGGGGAAAGCACAAAGACTTCAAAGCTCAAACTGGGAAGATTAATAAGAAGAGGATGCATTCATTTGAATCGACAGTCAAAAATCTCCTACTCGCTTTCTTTACTTAACCGTCAAGGTAAAACTAACATTTTGCTAATGTTAAAAGAAGGATCTTTTACAGTAGTACTTTTGTCCCTAAGATTAAAAACGATCGTTTCATTTTTCCATGGTCATAATTCTAAAAGAATTAATGTTCACTAACCAATCAATTATGAGTTTTCACAAGAAATATAACATGTAGCTGTGATATAACAGTTTGGGTATTTGATTTAATGGACTTTTGTAAATGACTTTCATATGTGACATTTCTTCAGTTATACATGTCACTTGTGTCATTCATCATGCCATTTAAATATGTAACGTATCAATTCATGCTTCACAAGGACTCCAAAGCCAGTATGAAGTATGACAGTCTGACATATTTAACCACTATTTATGTATTTATAGATTTCCATACCATCTGCTGATTGTGTCTTACCCCATAATTCACTGTGTTTCAAGCACAAAGCTTGACCAAGGTGCCTTCACATTCGAGCTTTTGGTGCGGATTTCCTACAATTCAACTGATGAATGTGTGACAATTCCACAAAATAGATGTAATCATTATGACTTTGTGTCCTCCTGGATGGTTTACATACAGATTTAAGAGGACATGAGATCCAAAAATGGCTTTTATATCATTAGAACAAACCAAAATGAATGGTTTACCATATCCAGGTCCACACCAGTAGCTCTAGTGTGAAAGCACCTGAAGTCCTACATGGTGGAAGAAGTGTGTACTAAGTCATTTTACGTGAGGGTCAATATCAGGGTAAGTACATTATCATCTCATACTGACCCGCTACGTTTGTAGGGGAATGTACTGAGCACTTTATTTAGAGATTAATGGTGGAAAGCTGTAAATATCGTGCCTTTGGACGAAACACTTGTGATGCTTGAAGTTGGTAAGATGCTACATTGTTTTCTTCAGCCAGTGTTGTTTGTCATGCAGGTCTTTTTAAGCTTCTGTCTTTGTTCTTGAAAACAACCTGTATTTTTCCAGTATACTAGACTGTAGCTTTCCAGAAAGATCAGCTTTAGTTTCCTGCTTGTGGAGTAGCTGATTTTCCAGAACAGAGTCACTACAGTGAGTAAGTACGTTTACATGCACTTTTAAAATTTTGATTTCTGTCTGCCTACATTAATAATTTGTCATGGAAACACTTTAGTCCAGTTGAAATTGCACTGGTCAGATGTTGCAAAGTTTGACTACCAGAACTTGATAAAGGGATTGAAGCTTGATTATAACTGTGCATGTAAACATACTCAGCAACACAGTTTGTTCAAGTCATCTATGAAATCTGCTGCATGAGGGTAGTTGTGAAAATGGGGAATAAACAAAGCGTCCAAGTGGAATTTACACAAAACTCAAATCATCATCTTTAATTGTACTATAGCTTGTACACTTCTGTCTTTGCTAAACAGTGCTCCTGATTAATGAAGAAAGGAAATAAGTGAAGTTGTATTATCAGTGTGGCAATTTAGTTAAAAAAAAATCTTGATACAAAAACCTGCTGTACTTTAAAGCCAAACTATTCTTTAAAGTGTTGTAGAAATCTTCAGATGGCCACACAGATTTACTAGATCTGCTCTATAATGCATTAGCATGATTTGTAGTTTTATTTTTATCTTACTATTTTTCATTTCAGTCAAATGTCACAGCAAAGTCTTCAAAAATGTTGTCATTGTCTAAAATCTAGAACGTTAATGTTGAATGAATGTGTTTTTAAGAAATTAATCTATCATAATTGTGTTTCCTGCTGAGAGCCCCTTTGGTTTAATGTGAAAAATTTATGTTTGTTTCCATCACACAGAACATTCTTAATTGCACAACACTGCATTTTAAGTTAAAAATAATATTTAGAATGTTAGTTTTTCTTCATCCAAGATAAAGGCATGAAGTGTGATGCAAATGGCTTACCTTTTTTGTTACTATTCTTGTCATAGATATGTTGTGACTTTAGACATTACGTTCTGAAACATATCTTTCCCCCAGAAAAATATTTTTAATATTACGTTTTTTTTTTTTTAGAAAATAATATATATATATTAAATTCTTTAGCGAAACTGCAAAGAAATCTGTGTAAATTTGTTAATAACTGCCTTGCGAAACCATTCCAGCACTTTCTATACTTTATGTAATGCTCTAACATTTTGGGTTTGCTCTAAATGGTTAAAAACACTGAAAATGTATTTTCAGTATGCTATTTTTTATTGTTTAAAAAAAAAATCACCACTCTTGTGTTAAAGTGATAATGTATAACTGTTATGTCACACTGTTTTGTAAAATGTGTACATTGGTCAATATACAGTGTTTGTATACAGTACTCAAGATTTGAAAAAAAATAAAATAAATCTGAACATGAATTTTCGAATCTCAAATATTTAAGATGAAATCATTGCATTTGTGGTAAAGTAATTCAATGCTCATGAAATAATGTTCACAAAAAGCTACTTCTGTTTGTAAATGTTTTATTGGCAAAGATTTTCTTTGGAAAAAGGGTCTTAAAAGTGCCTATTTTTGACACAACATACTCTAAAATGTTCTCTAGCTTCTTCTTGGAATCAGATTAATGAAATCTTAGAAAAGCCTAAATGGTTACAGAGAAACTGTTTGCTTAAGCGAAGCAAGAAAGATTCACAGTAAGGTATGTTGAACTAGAGGGTATTCGAACAGAAGACTATTGTTTTTTTGACAAGCTCGTCACTTCTTCAACCTTTTGTTTCTTGTGACGCATTCTAAGAGTCCCAGAGGCTTGAGCTTTGGGAGACTCTGACTTGTTTGAGATGACGATTACCTCAGGTTGGTACGTTTGTAGGAAGTCAATGAGGTCTACTTCCTGTTCCTCAGGATCACATTCCACTTCATCATTGAATCCCAGGCTCTCAGCCTCCATTAGGGGATCCTCCTCCTCTGTCTCACCCTGCCCATCTTCATTACGTAGATCTTCCTCCTATTCTTCTTCACAGTCTTCATCATCACCATTTTCTTCCTCTTCATTCCCTTCATCATCATCGTCCTCCTCTTCTTCTCCATCGTGTTCTTCCTCCTCTTCCTCATACTTGCAGCCAACAGCTCCACCCTTTGGATAATGGAAGACGTGTCTGTGATCACTAAAAGTGATTTGTCGTCTTCTGCTTGGTTTCTGTTCCTCTTCTTTTTCACCTGAGTACTCAAGTTTCTCATCATCCTCATCAATACTTTTAGGAAGACAGGGCTGGTCTTCTCCAATCTCATCCTCATCTTCCTCCTCCTCCTCCTCATCTTCTTCCTCTTCATATTCCTCTTCATCTTTGTCATCCTCTTCTTTTTCTCCCTCATTATTCTCCTCTTTCACCTCCTCATTAGTACACGCACCATCAGGCTCATCCTCCTCCTCTTCTTCCTTCATTCTCTCAGCAAGCTCCTCTGCTGTGGGTATGACTTGGTCTGGTTCTTCAAGTATAACACTAGGAAATCTGCGTCTGCGGGAGGGCATGTCAAACTCTGGATAGGTCTCCTCTGGATAGCCTTGGGAAGCAGTGAATAAAATTAAATTCAAGGGCCAAGAAACTGAAACAGCAGTGGACACAACACAAAGCCATGAGGTATACCTTCCCAATCTGCAGTGTAAGGGGCCTCCTCGGCCTCCTCCTCCGGCGAGGCTCCCTCTCGCAACTGTCTCTCTCGCATCATTTGGGTGATCTCCAACTGTTTGAGCTTTCTCTCCTCACGCCTCCGTGTGCCCCTGCGTGACCTGAAGTCAGAGCAAGCGATGAGTCAGAAACTGATTTGTAACAGAAAAACAGATCAGTGATTTGTTACAGAAAAGTAACAAATTGCAACCACTGCTAGAACACATACACATTTCTCGATCATCATGAAGCTGCAAATCATTAAACAGACCTCTGTTATTGCTCATTATTTTAAAAAGAAATTAAAAGGTCACAAAGGTAAAGCTAGTAAAACTTAAAGCAAACCACCAATGGTGTTGTGCAGGGTCAAATACCTGTCAACTAATTACATACTAAAAATAGAAAAGGAAACAGAAAAAGTTCCTTAGGAGAAAATTGATCTATGTTATGTGAATATAAAAAAACATTTTTTAAATATTTACATTTATGCATTTGGAAGATCCTTTTATCCAATGCGACTTACATAGCATTCCAGGCATGCATTTGAGCAGTTTATGCATTTCCTGGGAAACGTAATGCTGTGAACTAGCACTTTTCCTTTTGGATTCCATTCGAAGTGGCGTGCAGATCATGTCAGTGCTCTTTGATCAGTAAGATACTGGATGGTGCAAGGAGAGAAATATGATCTGATTACCTGGCAGATGGGTGGACAACTTTAGATATTCTCTTTTCTCTGGCTTTTTCACTCATTCTGGCCTGCATCTGCACCAGCTGACAAGTAGCTGTCGGAGACAATTGAATGAGGTTAAGAATCATATTAGATACAGATTCACTGAAACATGTGGAGGCCACACTTTGTAGTTTCATTTTAATCAAAGTTTGAGCTTTTCATACACATGCTGTACAGGGAGTGAGTGCAGTGCTGATGCTCTATCAGTTGCTCCCTCCACCCTTTGGCATCCATTTGATGAATAGAGCTAAACCTCTTACTACTGATACAAAAGACATGCAGTTAATTGGTATCAGGAGCTGCTAGGCATATAAAACATTACTTTTGATTGCTAATCCGGGTTGAACAAAAGGCAAAGTACAAAGCTTGCCAGGTCTGGGACAGGATCTTAATCTGGAGTTGCATGTGGTTTAGATACTGAAATGCCGAGAATGCATGCAATAAGAGCAAAACAGAAATGTGATTTAAAAAAAGTCACAATTTGAAAATATGGTGCCATTAAGATGAGCATCTTTATTAGGTATATAATGTTGTACAACTAGGGTTGATGTATATGCGAACTCACGCATCTCTTCAAATGTGTATTCTGACTGCAGTATAGGGAATCTGCACCCTTGTTGATGAGGTTTGTCCTTAGAGGTCAGCTGTTGAAAGATCAAAGTAAGCATCAGTGATTGATGAAAGCAGATATATGATTCTTATATATATATATATATATATATATATATATATATATACAGTACACTGTGTATGTGTGTGTTTTCTGAAGGATCATGTGACCCTGAAAATTGAAGTAATGGCTGCTGAAAATTAATCTTTGCATCACATTTTAAAATAAATTAAAATACAAAACAGTTCTTTTAAATTGTAATAACATTTAACAATAGTAATGTTTTTGCATGTTTGATCAAATAAATGCAAAAACATTAACAATCTAATTAAGCCCAAACTTTTGAACATTTCTGTATACATTAAAGCACGTTAGATATTTTCTCTAGGGAAATTATTATTACAGGAGAGGTGCTGAACAGAGCAGCTTTCCAAATAGCTTCTGATAAGACTCACTTTAAAGAACAAGTAGATGATATAAAGGAAGATGCCAAAGCCATAGACGGGGATGACCTGGCCCAGGAGATTTAGCTTGCCAACACCTTTGGCTCTGGCAATGGCCTCTGGGTTGTAATGCTTGATGTAATGAGAGTCTGTGTCCCAGTGATCATGATCTTCAGAGAATGAATGTCTGTGTCGTGGGGGAGGAAAATGTCCTGGTCCAACTTTAAAAATAAATAAGTGAATACAATAATTGTATAGAGATTGCACTAAAAAGAGCAATTCCTAGTCCATTTTCTGTATAAAAATTCAGTAACCAGTGTTTTTCAAAAATACGAAATACAAAAATAAACGAAATTAAACAAAATGACAAAAATGAAAACTCCTTATAATGTTTTAATGATCCCGTGTTATTATTATTATTTTTATGGTTACTGTGTTAAGTTTTTTAAAGATGTAAGAATGAATAAGGATAGATTTGTTTTGGAATCTGTTTTATGAAGCCACACACGGGGAGCTGGTAGAGGTTAACAGGGGGTCTGAGCACATAGATCACAGGGATGGTCAAATCAGCACTGACATTAAATGAGGGATTACATTTTTGTCTCATCTTACCCTCCGACTGCACTGTTTCTTTCTTCACTCTGGGTAAAAATAATTTAGGTAGGAATAAAGACATGCAGAGGACGATGCAAGAGATGAAGGTGATCTTCTGACATGTTGAAACAGCCATATCGATACGACAGAGATAAGAGACGCTGTAGAACAAACGGTGACAAGCGTCAACATCACGACATCACTTTTACGAAATTTCCTGTTGATTCGCTGAAGCGGAAATGACTGGAAACATTAATCCGCCTTCCGGCTGAGATTAGACTGATGACACATTAAATCAACTCCCTCAGAATCATCAATCATATTCGTGGCCTGTTATTAACCTGTTTTATGAGATAATTTAGTCTTTTACTCATTATTGTAATTTGATCGGTGCCCTTACATGAACACAGAAGATTTATCATATATATCCATAAGACATTTCAAATTTACATTCCACAGTGTTTGCATAACGCAACTAATGATAGGCTATTATTATTATTATTATGTATTTTTTTTATTGTTGATGTTTATGATGATTGCGATGATGTCGTGTTCTTGTTGTTATTGTTATTCAACTATTAGTCCAGTAGATGGCAGTGCTGTCGTGAGTATAGCGCTCATGAGGCCTCATTAAAAGCCTTTTATTGAGATCTCAACTACACTACAGATATTCGATTCTATGAGGGAATTCTCAGAACTTTTGTATACGTTGTGGACAGTTTGTGTCTCCATAGGATTTAGTTAATAAAACAATAATAATTAATAACATTTAAATGAATGAATAAAACTATTAATTTGATATAAAATGTATGTCCTAAAGTGTAACATACATGAGTTAATGTCATGCATATATATA